ACGGCAAGAAAAGCATCCCCATCCATAAAAACCGCCGCATGGCCCGGGGTCTGTTTTTTTTTTTTTTAACCGCTGTTGCCGCACAATCTTAGCTCCAAACGCAAGAAAGCCGGAAAGTCAGGAAGGATGACCAAATGGGCGCCTGCTTTAGAGGGAAACATGTGACTTTTGATGCATCCTGACAGAAACGCGTTGGCCTTTAAAAAGGCTGGCGATGGACAGATTGATGGCCAGTGCACGAAAACAAGGCAAAGGTACCTTGAGCTCTGGCAAGTGCTGCACGATATATTCCACGTTTGGGTGACCAGCGCCAGACGCTACCTCACCCAGCATTCATGGTTGCCAGCCCTTGCCTTGGAGAAAGTGAGGTGGTGCCAAGCCATCTCTACGAGCTTCTGCTAGTGCAGGGTGCCCCAGATGGGGTGTGCAAACCTGGCGGTCTGACGTCATTGTAGGATTTGAGGCAACGCATGCGAGCTTGCCAAGAGTTGCACACGCAGCTTGTGCACTCAGTACACATGTTTTTGTTTGTTTGTCTGTCGCTTCATCAGTTTAGGGCAGGTTGGGGCCACTACATGAGACTCTCCATCATGAGACTGCTCTTTGTGTCAAACATGCGTCATCCAATGCAAGAGCAAGTCCGTCAGTGGTTTTGCCCTTCTCAAATTGCTCCGGAGGGCTTGTTCGGTACATTGCCCATACCTAGGGGTTGCATGATATTTCTTTGTTGGCCTGTTGCCAACCGAGTTGAGTCACTCACCCATATTGACATATGACATATTGTTTGATTTGCTTTGACGTGACCTTGAGACTTGGTTGCCCAACCCCAGTTACCCAAGGTTTGGCATGGTGGTGCATCTGAAGCAGGGCTGGCTGACATCCTTGCAGCGGCAGGCGCGGTGGGCAGGGGCACTCGTGCCAAGGTGCCAAGGGCTACTGGCAAGGGGGGGGCGCCGGCAGGTGCCTGCCAGGTCAGGCAGCAGCCTCCATTCAGGTCGAGCAAAGATGGAGGGCAACCGGAACGGTTCAAATGCTTTCATGCAAGCTTGGCAGACCTGGTTTTGGCATTGCCTCGCGGTTGGACCAAACGCCTTTGATGCTGTTGACATGGTGCTGACCCCCGGCCGGTGTATTCCAGTATAGCTTGAATCGCCAGACCTGTTGCCATTGTCACGGTTGACTTCGTGTTTGATGGTGGCGGTTCTAGCGGCTCTCATTGTCTTCAGCGCCAGGATGGCGATCATAGCAGACACTGCCATGGCGGTTACACAAAGGTGACATAGTATCACAGTTGTTTGGCATGGTACGCAGAAGTCTATGCAGCCAGAGGCATTGTATGTCATTGCGAATTAGACTTGTAATAAATGCAGTTGCCTAATGGAGCTTGCCAGGAGCAGTGGTCAGGCCTTCGGTTCCTGGGGCGGCTGTCCACCGGCATTTGTGCCTCGTGCCCTGGACGCATTGTGGTGGGATTCATCTCTTGGCTGCGTCCTCCCCAGCCGTTCAATGGCACCCTTTTTGCTGGTTTTGTTTCGTGGCTTCCTACAAGGGATAGATTCCATTTTTCTACCAAGGTCACAGAACAACGTGGTCTTCAGGTCACTTCCACTCTTGTCCCTTCAGGCCTGATCGAAACTGCACGGCCCCTTCGGCCCCTTTGAGGAGATCTTGCAAGTATTCCAAAGTAATCCTCCGAACAGTTTTTGCCCAAGTAGATGTTAGCCATGTTACCCCTGTTTTCCAGAATGTCCCTTCGCTGGGTAGGCTGTAGCCTTGTCATGCTCTGATTTTGTGGCCCTGGGGAGCGGAGATGAGGAACCTCTTCGTTCTGCATCTCTCCGGTGCATTCCTGCATGAGGAGCTGCTTCCTATTCTGGGCGTGGGCCATTGGCAGAGGGTTCCCAAACAGATGGTTGGCCGCGGCCACAGTCACCTGCCCTTGTGATGTTTGCTGCATGCTGCCAATTCATGCACGCAGCTACCTTCCCGCGTGGTAAGGCTCCCTCCCCTAACTGGCCTATCGACAAAGACCAACCAACTAGCCAGCCAGCCAGCCAGCCAACCGACTAACCAACCAACTCACCAACCAATCGAAAAACCGATCAAGCCCATCGGCCCTTCAACGATTGCAAAGGCAGGCTGAAAGGCTGACATGCAAGCCGGCGCCCCTCAAGCCATAGCTCTAAGCTGAAAGTCAAGTTCAGCTTATTTGCTTGGCAGGTTGGGCATCTGGTTTTCAGAGGAGTGGGGATCAGCATTCCCACACCACTCCAAGGCGTAGTCTGAAAGCCATGAGGAGCCAGTGGAGCTCACAGTCTACAACTGCCTGGCGCAGTTCATGATGACATTCTCTGCCTCACTTCTAGCCGGGATGCCTGGACGGCTGATGGCCGAACATCAGCTGCCCGAAAGGAAGCAGGTCCATAACTGCTTGCCACGAGGTCATGTATCCCGGGGGTTGTGCTCAAGCAACCTAAATGCTTTTTGAGGATGCGCCAGCTGTATGATTTGGGAGCTTTGCTGTGCCACAGGGGTTGTATTTCCGGCAATCACCATGGACAAGTGCCAGGCAGCCACGGTGGTGCACTTCCTGGTGGAAGGCCGGGGCTGAAAGGCAAGGGTCAGCCATAGTCTCCCAAAACCAACAGTGCCGCCCTCGGGTTGTGCAGGAAGAGTGCCGGCCATTTCGGTCAGATTTGAGAAATAGTTTCATGGAGGGTTGCGGGTTTTTTCACTGTTTTTTTTCCAAGGGAGAAGGAAGCGAATGTTGCGGTGACCCAAGAGGGCAAACTGTTATTTTGGTGGTGTAGGCAGGCCTGGTTGCTGTCGAACCTGTGTAGTAAGATGCACAGGTCAAAGCTGTTGATGGTTTCTTCTGTTCTTGTTTGGGCTTTGCTCTCTACAGGTCCAGGCCCCCCCCCGAGCCAAGCATGCATCAGTCCTACACCAAGCCTTACCTCACCCAGAAACAACTTAACGTTCACTCTAAGAAGCAAGCCCTAAATCCGGCACACCCGCCCCAAAACCTACCGCAGACCACGCCTAAAACAATACCAACCCTAAACCCCTGCCCTTCCTGCGGTGTTTTACCTGCTTTCATGGGCTTGGCATTGCTGGGGCCTGCGACTTCCTCAGCACGCTGTTCACACCCACCCGCTGAAGCCACTAGACCCAGCTCTTTCTTGTATTTTCTTCCTGCCTCCCACCTGTGACCCTGTGCCAACCTTGAATCCACTGGTCCACTGTACGCCCACCCCGGCATTCTCAGGCACCGTACTCCCATGCGGCCTGCCCCTTCCACAATGCAATGTTGCCCTTCCAGTAGACACAACAAGTGGCGTTAAACACAAAAGAACACCTGAATTGAATCCCAACATTTTCTTTTGGGGGGTTCATCAGAGATGAGCATAGCTTGGCTTGCAACACAACTCCTTGACTGCGCGCTCACGCCGCGCCAGGACCCTTCGCTTGCATGCTCAGTGACGGCTTGCCGCAGGTGCGGGTTTCAGTGAGGGGAGGGTCGCAACAGCACCCCAAACAGCGCAGCTTCACGCTGCTTCCACTCACAAGCTATGGAGAACACCTCACGGATGGTCCTCAGCCCTTCGGATGGATTTTTACAACTACTTCAACTGTCTTTGAGGAAATCGTGACTTCCTCCTGTAAAGTGCCGCCATTGTATTGGGGGAAGGGGTGTGGCAATTTCAACGCTAGCCTCCAAGCCTCTCTTTTGTCTAGGCAGCGGCCTATCCAAGCGCCTAAACCTCCATTCCAAACGCCCACGCCTCTAAGCCTCTAATCCTCTAAGCGCCAAAAAGTGTCCAAGCCCCTATTTCAAATGCCTGAGCCTCTAGGTGTCTGAGCATCTAAGCTTCTAATAGCCTAAGCCAAGGAAGACTTAGAGGCTGAGAGTTGCAAAGAGGCTTCAAGGTTTTTAGGTGCTTAGAGGCGCGTGGAGGCTGGAAGGCTTACAGGTTCAGCGTTGTGAGGCTCAAAGGCTTAGAGGCTGAGTTCCGCATGCTGGTGCAGCATTGACGCTTTGCGCTTCTGCTTTCCTGCTCAAGGTCACTGTATGGCTCTGGTTCTTTTGCCGCAGTTGTGACTGAGACTCATCTAGCCAACTTGAACGTGCAGTTAGATACGAGTGTGCCACCTCGGACGAGGCCATTCGGGGTTATTTGCCAAACCGGACCCCGCAACGGGTGTCTGTCGGATTTTTAGCTCCCCGCGATGCCAGGATGTTTCCGCCTTCCCAGCCGCGGCTGCAGCTGCCTAGGAGGTCTGGCGGGTTGCCGCACACTTGTTTTGGCTGTTCAAAGGTTCTGGAAGTTTGGAGGTATGCCATTTCGGCGATCCCGGGCGAATCTTGAGCATTGCGGTGGGGCAATGGTGACGAAAGCGTGCTGTTGTTCTCTGTGGGTTCGCTAAAGGTTGGGTTTGGGTTTCCTTGCTACCCCTGGCAGGTGAACTCAGCGAGCAAGGGAATTTATATGTCCCATGCAACTTAGTTGAGACAAGCCGCTGACATTTGACAGCCACCTTTTTTTTTGCCAATCCTTGAGTCCCTGTCCCGGGACGCATTGGCCATGCGAAGATGGAAGACGGGAAATGTGAGCCCCACCTCTAAGGAAGGTTCTTTCTCCACGGTTCCTGTTGTTTCCTGGGTTGGCAACCTTGAAGCCCGAGTTGACGTTGTGCTCGGACACGGCTGTGCCAGGCTGTTCCTGGGGGCACGTTGGCTGTGGGCAAAATGCGGCGGCCAAAGCGAGTCGGTCTGCTAAGTAGCTGATGCGGCAATTGGATTTGGCCCTCCCAGGTGTGTTCTTTTCAGTTTGTTTGATTGTTCGCCGTTACAGGTTCGGATTGGCATTGGGGTGGGTCAGGGTGGGTAAACGTGGCTAGTGGCAAAATTCCTATCGGGCGTCATCTTGCTGCAGGGATAGAGGCTTCAATCACGTCAAACCTCACCCTGCGCTGCCTCCCTTGTTTGACACCTGCAGGAGCGGGTGGTGGAGAGGGTGATCTCACACATCGCGGGGCACTCGGTGAATGTCGAAGCGATATCACTCATGAATCATGGCTGTGTGCATGGTGCTTGAATGAGTGAAAGTGAACCTCAACGAGTGAGCGCGGATGAGAGTGAATGTATGTGAAAGAGTAATTCGCAGGTACCTGTCCAAAGGAATCCGAAGGATTGCCCTGCATCACTGCCGAGTTTGAGTTATGTCAGCGACAGTCGACGGCTGTTCTGCTCTGCCATGTGGCGTGGCACAGCGGTAAAAGTAAACACAGCCCGCGCTCGGAGACAGAATCGGCATTGTGGGGCCCTGGCTTGCCTGCGTTCATCAAGCATTCTCTTCCAAAGCAGCAGTCTTACGTTCCACATGGTTGCTGCGCCCAGGGCCGTTTGCACTTCCTGGGGTTGGTACGGGAGTGGGAGCAGAAAAAGAGTGGACGGAGGGGTGAAGAAGGCTTGGTGGCCTGGAGTCAGGAAATACTCGAGGAGGCACGCAAAGGCGAGCGAGGCTTCTGTCTCTTGGTGGGGTTCCTCCCATCTGCGCGCCCAGGCGGAGGTGAGGAAGTGCTTGAGGGCCTGCGTCAATCGGGCCGAGGCATTCCCGCCGGGGGGGTGGGGGGTGGAAATGGGAAAGTTTGGAGCCATGAGGCTTAAGCGTGGATGCCTTTTTGGGTAGTCTCTATAGGCCCTTCCTCACAAATGTGATGCAGATCCCAAATGACCAAATTACAAGCTATTCGGAGTTGTCCCCCATGCTGAGACCAAGAAGCCGTTTGCTCTGATCAGGGTGCCGTTTCATCGAATTTTGCAAGCTGCTCATCAACGCATGAGCGATCACACATGAGGATGTGAAAGGATAGATTGTCCCGACAAGAAGAACACAATCTACCCTACCCTCTCGGCCACCCTTTGACAAGCAAACCAAGAGGGGAAGATCATGTTCCAGTCGGTGGCTGCAGAAGCGTAGGCGTGGTGCAGTCAACGGCCCAAGGCCCTGAAGGCCCAACGTGCCTAGTGGGCGGACGGGAGGACCCTGCAATCCAGCGGCTGCTCACGGTGCTGGCAGAGACCATCGACGAAAAGAGCACCAGCGACATGCGGCAGGTGGGACTGGGCGATCCGAGCAATTGTTCAGAGAACGTGGCTGAAGGTTGCGGGCATTGGTTGCAAGCAGCCCCGTTAAGGTACAGGATCATGTACTGTCGATGAGTTTTGCAAGCTTCGAGGTGAACAAGAACGACTTTCCCATCAGTGTGGGCAGTTGAGTAACTTCTTGGCAGTTCTTCGAAAAGGCAGCGACGACTTGACAAAACTGCGAATAGGTCGGCTTTGCCAACAGAGCTCTGATAGCTTCGCTTGTTTTCTGAGACCCAGGCAGTCCATTCCTAAAACCGAGGCACTACCGAAGCGAAGCGGGGCAAGAAACGGAACCTAAGCACGTATCCTGAGAGGTTTGGCACTTGTGTGGGCCGAACCGCTTCTACCAGCATACTTTCCTATTGCAAAGCTTGGCTGCCAGAATCGCATGTTTGTTGCCTGGCGCCTCTCGGCGGCCTCTACGCTTAGATCTAAAAGGATCTAAAAGCGTGTCTTTGCAGCGAGTTCAACCGGGTTCTTGTAGTTCTTGTGTCTTTCGGTGGCTTCAGCGCCCTTCCCAGGTGCTCGAGCAGCTGGACCCACCCCGGGTCATCAGCCGGGCCGCAGCTGGGGTGCCTAGTGGGCAGGGGGAACGGGGCTTTGGGGCGCACGTGTGTTTCGCTCAATGAGTGAGTGACTGTTCTGAAAGGAGAAGGGGTCGGCATAGGGTCCGACCAGTGTGCATTCATGTACTGAAGGATGGATCGGCAGATAGATGGATAGATTGATGTAGATAGATGGGTAGACACAGGTGCTTTAATCTATTGATTGTACATACAAACATTGTATGCAAATCGCATGCGTGCAGAGAAGGGAAAGCAGCACATTCGACCATAGATTGTGCACGTGCCAAAGTAGGGGGCAGGGTTGCTTTCATGTCCAAAAGGGGGAGTTTCATGTCACTGGTAGTTCAATTAGGCAATGCCTTTGAAACAACAAGGTCCCCAGCCAGTGACCGCCCTTCTTTTCCTTCTGTCTTTGGCTTGCGGGTTGTCACTTGAAATCAAGCAGCCAAGCAAGCCCTTTTTCCTGTCAAGAGGTATGGGTTGCGCCTAAGGATCACAGCGGCAAACTCCAGTGGCAATGGCCCCGGTTTCGCTCGTGCCTCCTAGGAGTGTCAGTCAGTGGCACACATTGCTGACAGTTTGTTCTGAGCCCTGGGGTCAAGCTGATGCGGCTCTTCGTCACATTTCCACAGCTTGAGGGGAGTTCTTGCTGGGCTCAGCCGGTTTCAGACAACTTTGCTCGAGCAAATACGTTCTCAGGGCTAACGGGCTAACTAAGCTCAACTTACTCCGCTGGAGTTGCAAAGTTGGAACGTATTGACTGTGCTGCTCGGGTTTTCAGACCTGTTGCTTGCGCTTTTTCAGGATGTTGGTCTCCCTGACGCATGTTGGTTTGGCAAGGGACCGAGGTGTCGGAGCCCTGCCTAGATGTTTGAAGGGCGGTCCACACATGGCACCTCACGATAGCCGAGAGACCCATCACTATATGCATTTGGACATGGCTAAATGGCTCAATAGCTAAATGGCGTTTTTATCCTGACAATCCTGACTGCCCTGCCTTGGGCCAAACGCCAAACCGAGGGCCTTTCCGAGGTCCGCTCCACGGGAGGCCTCCGCAAGCCCGCAGAAGGAGCGGAAGGCGCGGCCTCCGGCGGCGATTCTGGCGTCGGCGGGGCCCATGGGGCCGAGGCTGGAGCCCCAGCCGGACTGGGCCGGGGGATGAGGCAAATGGGACAAAGCTGGGATGCCTTCTCTACGATTTGATGGAATACACCTCCAAGCCTTCTTGGGCCAGACTTTGGGATCCGTGATTTTTGGGTATTGTACGTGATCAGGGGCTGGCCACTCGGTAGCTATTGCTAGAGTGCTAGCTATCAGGTCCCCAACCAGCGAGAAGAAGCTTTCCGAAAGCGTAGCGTTGGGTCGGTGTCGCAGACCCCCAAAATGGGCTTTGATTAGCTTGCGCAGTGCTCAAGGAAGCATCCGTCAATGACTCAACAGCTCGGCAAAGTGGAGAACGAAGTAGCTGCTTCGACTAGCTTGTGAGTCATACTGCGTGAACGGGGGCAGCAGTAGGTCAGTTGGTCGCTTGGTTTTTTGATCGCTTTTCCGCTACGTGTGGCTGCATCCTGTTGTTGCTCTACTGCTCTACGTCCGCAGCTTTCTTCAGCTTACATCCGAGCTCTCTCACCTCCTTTGGGCCTTAGCATATTCGGGCGCCATGTCGACTGAGACCCTAAAGATCAATGATGGCACCACAATGGAGATCGCACGTCTCCCGGACATTGATGATGCCACCTGGGCCGAGGCCCGGGGTCTGGTCTCTGTGTGTTGCTTCAGGCTCTTGCGCCTTTTTGCCTTAGGGTTTTGGATTTTGCTGGGGCTTCGTGATTTGCTGAGATGATGGCCCATCAAGTTACATGAGGGGCCATTGCCCGGTGAGATGTAGACTGCGAAAGGTGAAGGCCTACGTGGAGGGCAACCCCGAGACAGCCAAGACATTGCAGGGCTTTGCAAAGAGCCCCGGCCGGAGTTGGGCGGGACCGGTTTTGTGTTCAGTTTCTATTTTGGTCATTTGGTCTCTTCCCAGCCAAGGCTAAGGCTGATCTTTTTGCGAGTCAAGTCCAAGTGAGGAACCCGGAAGCCATGCGGGGGTGGCTGCAGACGCAGGCCATCGCGGAGCACTACAACACCAAGCTCTCCGGAGGGGATGCTCCAGTGCAGGAGAAGGTGAAGTCCTTGGAGTCGGACCCGGAGCTGGCGGCGGTTTTTGAGGACATCAAGCCTCTCGGTTTTGAGACCTCACGTTCTGTCGTTGAATTTGTGGCACGGACCTGGTGACTTGCGCCAGCTCAACCAATGCTTTTGTGCATGATGCTGTGCTTGCTCTGATTTTGGGGCCAGGGGCAAGTTCCCCATGTTTTCGCGTGCTCTCCGGGGGCTAAAGCCGACTGTAGGAAGAACGGAATGGAGGCGGCCATGAAGTACTACCAGGACGAGGAGCTGCCCAGCTGTCCAGTGGCATCCTCTTCCCCTTTTTTCCACTAGGACTTTTAACATCAGCTGTTCCTCTTGGGTGGGGTGAAGATGTGAAGCTCACTCGAGACTGAGCCGCCCAAATCTAGGCGCCACTATTTTTGTCCCTGGGTGCTGGGTATAGTCCACCATTCTGGTTTCAGACAGCTCGTCCAGCACAAACCCAGTTACTCGCTGGGCTGAGGCTGATGCTGAAGATCTCCCAGAAGATGGGGGGCCTGCCCTCTGAGCTGGGCCCGGTGCTCCAGAAGATCGAGGCCGGTGGATGGAATGTCCTTTGCCGAAACGATGCCATCCATTTTCAAGGTACTCACTAGTTTGAGTCAAGCCCAGCTGGGGTTCAGCTTGAGACAAGCCCCATTTTCAGTGTGGCTCAAAATGAAGGTGAGGGACTTGACGGTTGGAGGGCGCCGGATGTTTGAGACGCATCCAAACATGCCTACCAGGTCCCAAGCTTTCAGAGAAAGAAGGCTCTATTGTTCAGACACGCTTTGCATGCTTTCGCTGTGTTTATCCAGGGTCGGGTAGGTTCAAAAGTTTATCGCAGATCCCGTGGTCCAAGTGCCTGCCCCACTTCTCCATTCAAACTTCTCGAAGGACACCTCCATGACGCTGCACGAGGCGGCCAAGAGGGGGGACCTGACAGCCGTGAAGCACTTCCTGGACCGGCCGCTTGTCAGCTTTGGTCGGGTATCGGATTCTTTGGTTTCTTTTGTTAAGGCCCCAGGCAAATCCGATCCCCTCATGCCCCAAAGTGTACCTGTTTGGGAGCTTTCGGAAAAGCGAGGTGGAATCCCTTTTACTG